TTATCCTAGCACAAAATCGTCTTTAGCTTATGCTATAGTCTCGCCCTGCCCCTTCAAAGGGTGCCTAACTTTTGCCTTGTATCTGCCATACAACTTACAAAGTAGAGGTAGGCGATATGATACATGATACTGTACTCATATCCATTGCCAAGTACTCTATACCAAATCCTGGCATCAAGTAGAGTAGTGACCACACCTGCTTTGACGTCATGATTCAAATTTTCTGGTATCACCACCTCTATTTCAAAGTGCATTTGTTAATGGAAGGGGGGAAGCTTAATATGGGAGGTGATTAGTGCCAAAATTAGGATACAGTTTTTTTAAATGTGGCATTGTTATCATCAGCGAGCAGAGGAATAGGATACCTATATTTTGATCCAGATGATCCCAATTCATTTCACTACATATGTCCGTGTAACACCTGCTCTAAACGTACAATTAAATCAACTTTTTCTTAAATTATATATTATATTTTATTTATTTATTTCTTTTCTTTCTGGGTGTTAGGACCTTGTTCCCAACATTCCCCAGGACTACTTACTCTAAGTATCTATACTTTATGCGTTGCTCCTTTATTCTATATCCTGTAAAATTGTTTAATAATAATAATAATAATAAATAATAATATCGATGAATAAATTAGAATAGATTACTAAGATTAGATTAATTAATAGGCAATAATAGCACATGACATGCTAGTCTCGCTAGCCAGACTTTAATTTACCGAATATGAGAAGAAAAATTCGATAAATTAGAGTCTGGCTAGCGAGACTAATGACATGCCACGTGGAGCATAATATTGAGGTGTAAAATGGCGGAAAGAGACAGTGCCAGCGGAGCTGATAGCACAGAGGCCGTGCTGAGTAACCTAACCACACTTCTCCAGGATACTGTAAACCGCTTAGAAGGTAGAGCCTCAGTCTGTTATTATAAGATTTAACCTATGACCAACCTTTGTTTATATAACCGGCTCTAGGCAGGCAGATTAGTAAACCAGCAGCAACCACAGCGTTTGTAGTACAACCGTCAGCACCACAAGTATTTGCTACTAAAATTCATTCTGTCAGATCTGAGAGAACGACACCAGTTCCTAGTAATTTCTCGTGGAACCCAGGCTCTAGTACTAGCAGCAGTTCCCAGGCTTGCGGCAAGAAAAGGAAGTCCAAGGAAGACTTTGGAAAGAGTCGGCATCCAAAGCGAAGGAAAGTTGCAACTTGGACTCACACATTTGTGTGCTTAGCTAACAAACAGCAAGATATCATCCCTGATAGTAATGAAAGAGCTAAGCTACAATTGGCTGGGCTTGGAGAAAAAAAGATCTCAATGTATGCAAATGCAGATGTAATCCAAGAGCTCAGTTTTATTTACTTTTCCAAAATTGGCCCAATCTGGGGGATTTGAGCTACTAAGGGTATCAGAAGGTCGAGGAAGGTGTCTTGATGTTATTGAATGCCCAAGGGAAGGCTATAACGCAGCCTACTTGAAAGCAGTAGTGCATAACGCCGAAGTATATGTGAGGCCACTGCAAAGGAACCTATCCATAGAAGAAAGTCCAACTGTAGAAGATGTAAGTATACTGGTAGTATTAAATTGATTATAATGTGTAATTTTAATATTAAATAGGAATTCCTAGATGTACCAAAGGAGAAGTGTTTAAACTGTGACGAAATGGTGCTTGTTGCTGAACTGAAAGATCATCTTATTTCTTGCAGTAGGTCTACAACGTAAGTAGTTAATTCTGGATATATTGGTTTTTTTATTCAATTGTTTGATCATGCAAAAAATGTTTTTGATAGGAGTACTGACATCTACACTGAGGAAGACACATTTCAATTTGATGACTCTATGGTTCAGACCTATTTTAACCCAGTATTGGATGTGGTATTATATACAACAGAAATTAATGATACCAGCAATGAGCAGCTGTAAGTCAAATTTAAAACAATATTTAATTGTAGTGCTACAACTATTATTAACTCTGTTTATTATTATTATTATTGTTATTGTTAAAGTTAAATTTCTTCATTTATATAGTCATTGTTGTCTTTTTTAATAATAATATACACTGAGTTCTGTTTAATAATGATATTATTTTATATTTCTTTTAAAATTACATTTGTGTTGTAGGTCAATTAAACAAATAATACAGTCGGGCAGCCAAGCAACCGGAAGTCCATATAAATTGTGTATAAACCTATTTCTCGTTCATTGAGCAACTGCGTGGGTGGTAGCGTACATAGATACATGGAAACTTGGATAGAATCAGAGAACTATCACAGCAATGGACTTGCCACAATGAGAGATAAAGTGCTTGATCAATAGAGCACATCATTTATGAAAACAGCAAAGCTACGCTGTTTTATGGGGAACTTACAGCTAATTTTGAACACAATAATTCTATTCATTAGAAAAACTTTCCCTCACAAGGAATACTTGTAAGACAACAATTACCTTGTAAAGATACCTTTTAAGTACCACATACCAAAATTTCATGATTGCACTCCAAAGAATACTGAAGTTACAATTTTTTTATTGTTAAGTATAATTAAATTAATTAAAATTTATTATTAAAATTGTAATAAATCATGATATCTTTATCCAGGTAGAAAATAATTGGGATCAAAGTCTATATCCTCACAATAACCTTCGTCTATAATGTCAAAATAGGCAACCAGATACTTAACACAGTTCATATGAGTACAAATATGAACGAAAATTGCGGCTCTCATG